TCCAGCACGACCATGCTAGTCGGGATACGGGCATGAGCTGCGAAGAATAGGCGAATTCCGTCAACAAACGACCCTCAGGACCTGTAGCTATGTGACCAACCCGCTCGTCGCAGTGCAAGACTGCTTCGTTCTTATTCCACTTGAACGCCTCTAGGATGCGCGTCTCTTCCGGGGACATCCCGCCGCCAGCCCTGAGGATGTCCATAGTAGTGTCGGTATGACACGCGAGTATGACTTCGTCGAAGGTTAGAGTCTCCCCAGCGGCGGTCGTGATCTCCACTCGGTGCGTCTTCTCGTCATTACTGAACACATGTATAGGCTTCACTGATACAACGGGCGTGGAGAGGTGCAGCTGTGACGCGGGGAGCGTGGACAATATCTTCTGGACGTATGTTCGACTAGGGAACAGCGCGGTGAGTCCGTGTTAGATGAATGGGGCTTGGGTATGCGCACCTTCCGCCGCGAAGAGTGAGCCACGAAGGTTTTCCGGTGATCTGGAGGAGGTGATGGTTATACATGAATTGAATCTGCAAGCACGGTTCTCTTAGGAAAATTCGACGCAGCAGCATGTATCAAGGAGGCCCTACCAAGGTGCGCGCAGGGAAGTCCAAAGCGCACTTGTCCGGAGGTGTACTCCATATGGCCGCGGACATCGGCTGAAATTCAGAGCCAGGTGAGAACCGTCGCCAGTACGAAAGGAATCATGAAGCATACAATGAGGTAGTTGTCCCGGAATGAGTCGGAAAAATTGTGTTGTTCCAGATATGCCCCAATGGAGAGTTCATCATCTTGTACGCCGCACCTCTCGAGATCTAGCAGGAGCTTCTGCGCGCTGGCGTTGAAACGAAGCACATCGTACAGGAGGCGCCACATATTGGGGTCCAATAGGCGCGATGGCTGACAGAAGACCGTCGCCAGGTTGTTCCCGGCCCACTCAAATGCGCCGCTGTCTCGCGAAACTGAAAACGTCATCTCTGTTGGGAGGATGCGCTCAGCGAGGTCCGGGTACAGTTTGAGGAAGTTGATGAAGTTCGGGTAGGTGCTAGGGTTGAAGACGATCTGTATTCATATGGATATCGTTAGACGTTGCATGGGATGTGTATGCTCGCTGATCCTCACGAAACCACTGAAAAGGGTGAGTCAGTCAATATATATCCCTACATAGCACCCATACAAGAGAAGGTTCAACATACGTGTCGACATCAACGGACTCCATATTGAGCCGAGAGTAAGTGACAGTATTAGCGTGTCCGCCTGGGCGTGAATCCGCCTCAAAAAGGTGGACCTCATGGTTTGTATTCTCGTTCAGTAGCTGTCATATCGTATCAGCCCTCTGGCATAAGAACCCAGCGTTTCCCGTTCTTACCCAAGTAGCTGCAAGGCCCGAAACTCCCGAGCCGACGACCGCAACTCTCATTCTTGCAAGCTTCGCGACCTCTTCGGGCAAACCTGTAGTACTCAAAAACAATCAGCTTGTACGGACGCACGAGTCAGAGTGTCAGAGGCAGACGAGCACATTTAGTCTACGTGGACGCAAGCTGCGGGGGCGTGGGAGTGTGCAGGGCGTGCACGACGTTGGCATAGAGAGCATCGTCAAGTTGGCATCTTGGATACCGCATTCGTGCAGCAGCTGCACCACGCCACAGCCACCCCCTCCCCCTAACGCTGACCTCACATTTCCGTAACATAATAAACGACTTCAAGGCATTTTGCCTTGCCATGGTAATATTACACTTGGTTCTGTTCCAGTACATGCAGAAGAAATCGAGACACTGCATCATTCGACATGGGAAAGGACCTTCTCTCGGAGGTTCGGGATCCTGGGCTTGAAGCGGACCACGAACGGGTAGGGATGAGCAAGCGCCCCATCCTTGATGGCCATTGTGTCGATTGGATGGGCCGGGTCCTCACTTATCTCGAACGCCCACAGAGTTAGAGCGGTGTTGATGAAGACAGACCTAGGAAACCTCCTTGAGCGATGGGCATATGTGAGTGCCAGAAATAAGACGCACCTTTCGGCAACATGCATGCCGGGGCAGATCCTGTTCCGTGCGCCAAGTGAGCGGGACGAAGTAAGGACAAGATGTCTGCGCTTTGATCGCACCTGCGTCCAAAGCCCCAGTTGAAATACTTCAAGTCATCCCGCATTTTGCCCTTATCATCAAGCCAGCGCTCAGGCTTGAACTCTTCGGGATCCGGGTACACGTCCGGGTCACGGGCAATCGCCCTGCACAGCTCAATGCATCAGCGTGCTGGCGAGGATGCACGAGAGACGTACCAATGACATGCTAGGACCTCCGTTCCTGCTGGGATGACATAACCTTTCTGTTCGCCTTTGTAATCAGCTCAGTTCGGCCACCAGCACCGGCGCTGTATCTTACCCAGAACACGTCCTTTGTCGCCCTGTGGGCAAATCCTGTACAGAGCGCGTCAAAAACTCGGATATCCCGCCCATCCAATCATTCTTAGTACCTATCGGAGATACGGGCCTCCACCGGTAGACCTCTTGTACGAAGGCGCAGACCTCAGGTAGAATTTGTTGATCAGCAAAGGTGGGCACTATGGCATGACGTCAACGAATACTTCGAAATTGCTGCAGGAGGCACGGGAGCTACGTACATCGGTCACGACCCACTATCTCGTCCAATTGTGCTTGCACTCTTGCCTGGAGGTGAGGGTAGCGGGCTGCCGCCATGATGACAATCGGCAATACTCCTGCGGTCTGTCACAGAATCCCCACTCGTTAGCGACGTGGTGCTGGCGGTCCTCAAGTGTCATTTAGCCTACCGTATCAGAACCCGCGCCGAACATGGAGCCTGCTAGGTATGCCAATTCATCGTCGCTCAGGCCAAACTCCTCCTGCCGCTCTAAGAGAGATAGCGCGAAGCACGGAAGAGCTTCATTCTTCGCCTGTAGTTCTGTGGCGTCAGTGTTTTACCAATCTCAGGGGCGCGCCGGAGTTAGAGCTCACTCGGCGGTCTTTGACCGTCTGAACTTGACTGCGGAACAGAGCGACTTCCTCTTGGTGGTACTTCCTCAGCTCCGTGGTGAAGCCCGGAACGTACTTCAAGAACGGATAACTGTCGACCAGGTATGCACCTGGGCGCATAGCATAGCCTATGCGCTCGATGCCTTTGTTGATTTGTTTGACCTCGGGGTCGGAGTACGATGTCGGTGAGGTCTTTCCATAAGTGATACCCATGACGACGCTGGCAGCGTAGCTGCACGAGTTGTCAATATCTAGACCAGCCTGGCCCCAATGATACGCATTGACGCGTACCGTTTCGCATGGTTGATGAACTCGTCGGGATCGTCTAGCAGATCCAAGATGAAGTTACGGGCGTTGTGCATCTGCAGAGGCTCATATCGTGCGGCGCTCTGCGGTTGCAATGTGGCATGCAGGGCACTAGGGAGAATCGTCAGACCAAGCATATCCAACCAGTAAGGAGTCTTGATTTGTTTACCTCCTGTACTTCCGTAGACGTTCGCCCGCGCCGATGATCAGGACACGCATGCCCCCGGATATGAGCTCTCCGGCTGAAACGGACCGAGGCCGGTCAGCAAGGTTATGTGATTGCTTAACCATGATGTCTACGGCAGGCTGGCGGGCGTGTGAGCAGGTGCAATACCACACCGACGCGCATAGTCGGAACGTACCTCTACGCGCGCGATGACTACGAGGCGACGCGAGCCATACCGGAGGGTGAAGATGGGTCCATACGTCTCAGCGAGTCGAGTGCAATGACGGTGCGCACTGCAGCGCAAGGGGTTATTGATCCTCTCTGCCAAGCAGGGAGTACAGCCCACTCACTAGTTGGCCGGAGGCGCATTCCCGAATAACCAGTGGCCAGGAGGACTCGGTGGGAGCCTCTGGTCTTGCTTTCCCAGACGTACCTTCCACACAACAGCATAACACGCCGCGGCGAATGCCACAAGAAGGAGCGGACTGACAAAACGCGAGAACGACGCCCCGTCGAGCATGGGCGAGAGAGTGAGAGAAGACATTGCCGTGTATCTCAGGCTCCTGGAGCTCGGAGCGTGCGGGAGTAGGACTATTTGTACCGGCGTCTTCGGCCTTGAGTTGGTCAGGAGACGAACCCTGAGAAGCACAACCCGAGCCTGTAGAAGGTCTGTCGTGTGAAATCCAGCACAGAAGCTGGCGTCGGGAGCCTCCCCGGGCGGCGCTATGGTGGGCCACGACAGCATCACGCGTCGATTGGACAAATCATGGGAGCCTCCAGGGCTGACGGGTGTGGAACAAAAACTCCCGATTGGGGTGATTTCCGCGAAATGGCTGCTGCAAGGGAGGGTAGGGGGCGATAGTGTTGTCTGCAATGCCCCATCTTGGAAAGCCGTTAAGAGGAACTTCCGCTGACGTCGAAGCTGGCGTGTGCAGTAAGCGTGCTGCGATCCAATTTAGGTGTACACTGCGGTAGTCTGCCTGTATTCAACAGCAATCAGCCTTTGTCGAACACGCGAGAGACAGGAATAGACTACTTGCTACTTCGTATACGGCCGCTGACGTCCACCAGGATAATCCCTTAGGCCTAGGGCTGCGAGCTCCGGGGTCTGGTCGCGCTATGGTCGTAGTATGTATCTCCATGCATTGCATGGCTGTATCGCAGCGCGCACGACGCTGCGGACGCCGGACGGCGTCACTCTGGTTCTGACAAGTCAATTGGTTGTTACAGAGATGTCCTATGACTTGGACGCACTGCTCATTTTCCCATTGGCAAAAGTATTTAGCAGCTTCGCATCAAGGCTGCGTGGCTGTTCTTGAGGGTTTCGCATCAGATGAGAGCGGTCAGATGCTTACTGCAGGCTCAGAATTGCTTCGTAGATGAGGAATCTCGAAGGATGTACATCCGACAGCGAGACTAGGACGCGCTGAGGGCTCAAAGGAGTCTGGTCGAGAGATGAACGGCCCTTGAGCGCTGAGCCTCGATGAATGGGGCAGAGTTTGTCTATGTTGAGTATTTGCTTAGCACTGCCTGGGGCATGGCGATATGGCCGAGCGGTCTAAGGCGCCAGAATCAGGATAATTGTCCTATCTGGTCCTCACGGGCGTGGGTTCGAATCCCACTGTCGTCATACCTTTTTATTCCATTCACAAAAGGATGATCATATCTAAGGACTAACATAGGTTGAACGTTCGCTATTGTAGTGCAGCACTTCTGGCTCGAGGGCCCGAGGGTAACGTATTGGGTACAAATGATGCTACTGCCAAGTCTCCGATTGTCATTGAGTGCGCCTGGGAGCAAAATGGGTATCGACTGCTTGCCAGACGCTGTACGTGGGCTCCTTCCAAGGACTACAGTAGGCATTTACCCTGACCAGCTTCGGAAATATGTATGAAAGGAACGTTGCTACAGATTCAGGGGAGTTTATAGGGGAGTAGTTAGCACAGAATGTAGTTAACGGACACTGACTGGGTCTGCCCTGCAACTCGCCGTAGGCTCCGCCTTGCTCAACATCCCGTAAAAAGTCCTCGTGTGAGCTCCAGCAGCTCGCGTTGAGACACAGGGAGAGCTTCTGCAAGTTGGCGCACCGGGAGGCAAATGAAGTCAAGATGCGGAGACTGGGAAGAGTCATGCCTCGCCAGATAATGTGTGTGAATGACCTGCAATTGAAGCAGTTCAGGGTAAGCGTCCGTAGCGCAGGCCATGCCGCCACCATCTCAAGGATGAATGCATCGTCCAGGGAGAGCGTGCCAAGAGAGATGAGGGTAAAGCTCTCCAGACATGTAAATTCCAGGAGAGGCCTGAGATCATCGGACCTCAAGATCGTAGCCTCGACTTCCTGGTCCGAGGTGGCGTGGGGCGGGGTGCCGTAGTCGATCTTTAATACCGTCAATGTACGAGGGCAGAATTGCTGCCGGAGCGACGCTGAGAACACCATGAAGGACATCGTAAGAGGTAAGAAGTTCTCGGAAAGTTGCACGTAGGCCTTGTGAACGGTGGGAAGATGGACGGTGTTACTGAATACATAGTGCGCTTGCATTGTACCACATGAGTTGAGGTGCCGCAGGTATTGGAATGGCTGTTTGACAGTAGATAGGGTCGTGTCATGAGGCTGCTCATGATCATCTGGTAGGCGGAGAGTGAGGCTGGATAATGTCTCGGACCGAGCAAGGACGACAAGCACGGATTCCGACAAGGGCGTTCCCGACCAAGTGAATGATACAAGCGAGGTCAAAGAACGCACAAGATCGGCTATTGATTCCTGAATGGAGAGCCAGACTTGGGGTTCAGGTGATGATAGTTGACGGAAACTGAAGCGACGTAGATGGGGGAAGCGATCGATGATGGTATGGTGAACAGCCACATGAGTATCCGCGGTGTCCTCAAAACGCGCATAATCGTCTTGAGCGTCTATTTCTTGCAAGTAGTGACCGACAGAAATGAGGAAAGGGGCGAGGCGGATATAAGGCAGGCCCAATGGCTTCCAGCGTAGAGCACGAAGATTAGGGAATATGAGTGGTGTCGGGCAACAGGCGCACAGCTTGTCCCACAAGTCTTTGGATGGGGAAATGAGTCCGTAGCGGGACACAAACGAACGGTACCAGCGAGGGGATCCTATGGGCCCGTACCCGAGCACGCGGACGAGGGCTGAGTGCTTCAGAAATGACGTCCACTCCCTTGGCACTAATGGGCGTTCGATGTGCTATAAGCAGAGAACACATGAGATTTGACGGAGATGAACACAGAAAGACAAGCTGCTAGGGGTGGACGACTTACGAGTATGCGCTCAAGAAAGTCTTCTATCAGTGTCCATGCGTCGTCAGGAAAACACCTGATCAAAGGAAATAGGTCCGGCAGATTCCTCCAGAGAACCTGTACGGCAGCCTCGTGCACTATTCGAGAGGATCGGGCCATGGAAGCGAGCGTCGGGGGATCGGCACATTCGCAGACAAGGCGGAGGATCTCCGAGATGCACACAATAGAGGATGTGTTGGGCATGTGGAATCCTACGCACCAACGATCAGCTACATAGTTGTTGGAACATCTCGAGATGTGCAGAACAAGCCAAGACTTGACTTACAGTACCTCAGAAATACGGCGATGTCGCCACTAACGATGCGAAGCCAATTCTCAAGTGGGGTGGTGACGTGTCCAAGGGCCTACACGGCAATTGCGCCTCGAGCTCTCAGCACTCCAAGGGAGACAGGAGAGGGGGGAAGGTTGCAAGTTACACCGACGTTTTAAGTCCGAAATGTAACTGATTGCGTGTTGATCGAAGGGATCGTTACTGGCGAAGAGGCAACTGCCAACTTGACGCTCATTGAGGCGTGCTTCCATCGACGAATTTGGCGCTGCTAGCCGAAGTCCCTTGACCACGGTGTTCACATTGGCATTTGCTTGCGGGCACGTACCCGTGCATTTCTACCCAGTGGTATATGTCAAAGTCGTATGAGCGAATTAGGACTGAACCAAAACGAGTCCAGTGTACTGTAACTGTGGGTGTTAAGACACGCCGAGACGCGACCCACGTGACTGACGCGTCAACAAAAACGCGTCAACAAGACCAAGCAACTCATTAGGCGCGAGCGCCTGTTTGTGCTGTACGTCAAGGCACGGTAGTGGTCGTCTCACCCCTTCCCCATCTCTCCTCATCATCGCCGGCACTCTGCCTGGCCCTCCACTTGACATCCCTACGCGCCTCTGGCTTGGAACCGTGCGGTAGGGTCTACAATGAGTCTCCCTACACCTCCGGGCACGTCTCATAGAGACGAGAAGGACAACCGTGCTCCCCGTTATTCACGCGTCTCGTGGTCCGAAACTGCCCAGTACCATGCCATCACTTCCAGTCCTCCTCGCACACAAGCAGCTCAAGCCAGAGCTTTAAGAGCTGGACCCTCCAGATCAATCCTAAAGAAGCCAGCCCATCCCATCCCCTCCCTTGTTGACGCGAACGCGAAGGAAGGCACCCCAGAACCGTCCGATCCTCTTGCAGACCTACACTACCTGGAAAGCCCTGTTGCCCGCATTCTCGCCCCAAATGCATCATTACGCGACCTCATCGAAGGATACTCTGTGTTAGCTACGCGTCTCAGGGCCAGCGTCAACGATGATACAGACGCGGATGCTTCGTGGCCACTGTTCCAGCCGCTTAGAAAACAACGCGATCTTCTCGTAGAGGCCATAGTTCGCGACCTTCGTCAGGTCTTCACCGATCCCTTAGACGATGATTCGCTTTCAGCGGACGGCATGGACTCGCCACGGGGCGAGCCTAGTTCCCTCCCTTCCCCTCGTGACAGTCCGAAGAAAAAGCGGGGTATGACAGCGGAACAAGTCAAACGTGCTCGGGATCTTTGTGGAGTATGCCATGCAGTACTCAGGCTCTTGGGTCTTGTGTTCGTGGTACCAGCGATTTATCAGCTCTTTACCGGTAAGCACCCACTGTTTCAATATGATTGCTCCGCTGACCAAGTCCCCTACGTTGTATGTGCCCTTGCCGGGTTGCCCATGCAGAGGATGAGCTAGGATATATCCTGACCCATGTTCTTGCCATCCCTCTTGCCAACGAACTGCCCACACCCAATTCGCGCAAGACCTGTGCTCTCGCAATATGGCTCATCCAGACACAGCGACTACCCGCAGAAGTTCTTGAGCCCGCTAAGGACCGCATTGCTTATGCACTGCGCCGGGGCATTGAAGGTGAACTTGGCAAAGAGGGCAAGAAGGGCTCGACCAGTGATGGCCTCAAGGTGCGCAATTCTCGTCTTCCTGTCAAGTGTATGCGTTGATATCGGGTCCTTGGTAGGCGGTCCATGACTTGTCGCTGTATCTGCCGTCAATCTTTGTCCCGGCTTTCGCGCCCTTGGTACCTGCCATCCTGACCAATCTGTTGGCGCCTACGCTGGTCCTTCGCAACCAGGCCTGTCATGCACTGGGTGGTTTTGCGCTTGCCGTCGCCTCGCTTCCTCCCAGTGAGGTACACACCCGTATCTCGACAGCAGTTGCCACGCGGCTTGTGAAACAGGTAGACACGAGCGGTCCTCTTTCGCCAGCTAAGAAGGCTGTCCTCGCCAGCCCTTCCAAGGACTCTGCACTTGTGCGCACTCTCCGCACAACCTTGCAGACGGTGGATCCAAAACACGCAGCGCAGGGCCCTGTTTGGGCCTTCAGCGTGATCGCTCACCTGGTCGTCTTGCTCGGACCAACCGTCTTCCTGCACAACGAGTTGACGCGGGTGATTACGGCCCTCTTCTCGCTCGGCTTGCGTCATCAAAGGAGCTCTGTTCGAGGACTGGGATGCCTTGCATGGCGCGCGATGACCTGGGCATACTTCCGGCCTCCGCACGTGAAGCTCACCATCGCTACGGATACGGACGATGAAGAAGAGGAGTCCGCTACGGAAGATGATCTGATGGAGGAGAGAAGCAAGCACGAAGAGGCCCTGCGTGCGTGTTTCAAGTACCTCCCCGGCGTCGTGGAAATGGGTGCGGGAGTGGGTACGGTGGGCGCTTTGCTTGGGCATGAGCCTTGCGAGGAACTCCATGTACGGGGTGCGCTGCGCATTCTACGCGTCATGAGCAAGAAGGGCGGCCAGACGTGCAAGGTTGCTTTGGATGTTACCCGGCATATCATTGGCTTCGCGACGTCTCCCCACCAGCCTAGCGTTCCAGAATGGGAGCCCCGAAAGCTTCTCGCCCCTGGATTGTTCTCTTCGATTCCTGGTCTGTTGACAGCGGACTGGAAGACCCTGAGCACAACCGTTAAGGGCGTCTTGGAACAATGTCCACAGCTCAACGATGTGAGACCGCTCACCCTGGAAGAGATCGCTGCAGATGGAATCTGGGATGACCTCCTGGCAATCTGGAAGCACGGTTTATCCGTGTTGAGGCTGCAGTGGGGCAGTGAAGAGGTTCCGGTGAGTACAGCGATGCTTCACCGTGTTCGTATACTGATGAGACCATTGAAGAGTGAAATTCGGGAGATTTGGTTCAACCTGCTGAAGAGCCACGCGGCGCCCCTCCTTGGTATGAGCTCCCTCCTCCGTGAACCGTTCCAGACCCTCATCAGATTCGCCACAGACGCTGGAGACCATGACGGTCTGGCGGAGCTCGCCATTCGAGCGCGAGATGTCTT